TTTTTTATCTGGATAGCTAAATAACGAAACTAGATAAGAAAATAAACCATTTAACAATTACATAACTAACGATAAGAGCAGCATAACGAGTGAGTCGTCCAGCACCTCAGAAAAATACAATCTTCACACATAAAAAATCATAGACAACATACCGCTTCATTTATTTCCGTCAAATAAACTGCTATAGGTTATTAACCACAAAAATAGAGCGCACAAAGTAATCAATATTTTATGCAAGATGCGTCATATTTCCAAAAAGATAGTAGTTTCTGTTCATAAACAATAACAACAGTAACCCAACATACCAGGCAAACAAAGCGCACAGAACCTAACATCCGCATCTCTTGCAGTCATGCGGCTGGTTCTGTTGAATTATAATGTTCTCCTAAAGAATAAGCATATCTATGATAGGTTATCACCAAGGGTTTTGTTGTCACAAACTCGTCTCCAAACACAGCTACTCGACCCTCTGGCTGCAGTACCTCAATTCTTCTTTCTAGCACACTTGATAACGCCTTTAACTAAAATAGTACGTGAAAAAAATTACAGAAAACTTAGAAGAAAAAGAAAGGCATATTTTCGATGTATTCTAAAAAATCTGTGTAAATTTGCTGCATAAGAATTATATTTAAAAATACAAGCGATAATTTTAAACCTCAGGTTCACCACCCCACTGACCACCTTCTTCACACATGTTCTCAACCTGCCAGCAATACTTTTCAAATTCAATCTCCTCTACAGGCGTGCCGTCCTCCCAAGTAAGAAATGGAAGAAAGTCTTCCTTGTGAGCTCGAATGTAAGATGCAGCTTTTCGTCTGATGTCTTTTCCTGCAAACTAGAAAAACACTATTGAAAGAGAAGCTTTTTTTGCGACTCAAATAACGAACAAGCTGACAATAGACACCAATTAAAAAAATATTTTTGCCTTCGCAATATCTTCGGAACCGCAAGACAACTGATGCGCCAGTGCATTATACAGACAGTCACCATTTGCAGGAATTTCATGAAGTCGAAGATTACGAAGGGAAAGCTCATTAATTATAGCCTCACTTTCTAGCGTTCCTAAACTTTCAATTAAAGGGCTAAATAATCACATACCGCGAAAAAGACACAAAATATTTCTCTTAAAATGTCTTTGAAAATAAAAAAGAAATACTGCCTGGAGCAAATTTAGATGCCTCTGCATCTTCCTCGGCAGCTTCATTTAGCCTCTTCCGCATTTCCGCCTTCTTCTCCTACAAAAATACTCGAGAAACGAGGTAAATAATAAAAGCAACCATAGTTTTAGAAGTAACTGATATAAAAAAGGTGAAAAAAAGTAACCCTTCTTTTAGCAGCTCTAGAAGGCCTAATAACCTTCGTCTCTTGTGCTTGCTCTTTACTTTCCTCACCATTTGCTGGTAAAGGTTCTATGTTTTCTGTTGCTGCTTTCATAGTCGCAAGCATCTCGCTCAGTTCCTAAAAGAATATTATTTACAGATATACGAAGAGCCAAATAAGAATACGTAAGAAGCTTCACTTCAAATTTGATGTGGTACAAGTCGTCTTCACCGTGCTTTATCCTCACTTTCTCTTGGAATGGTAAATCTTTTGAAAATGTTTTGAGTCATAATCTCTGGCAAGTTCTTACCAGCCTACAAGTAGCGGCAAAAAGCTAAAAAACTTTGAAAAAACTAGAAGTCTACTAAAACACTTACCAATTTCTAAGATAGTGTCTAATTTTGTTTTTCCTCAAAGTTTTCTGCTAAAATCACCATGTCCTTCCATTTGCTAGTATTACATTGTAAGCCTCACAACAGTACTAAAAAACAGCGAAGTAAACAATAAAGTGAAATAATTTAAACAATTATACGAATGCAATCCTCAGATTATCTCTCCCTCTACTTGCTAAGAAACTAAACAGTTGTAAAAAACTTAAAAAATACAGGCTTCAAAAAGAGTGGTTATAACTCCTCAACGCTTGTTATACTAAATTATTTCCTTTCTCATGAATCTACAATCCTCTACAAATCCAGCCTCCAAAAAATTCTCTTTTTATCACAGATTTTTTCTAAAGCTGTCCAAATTGGCATAAAAGTTGTTATTTCGAAAAACTGCTGAGAATGAATGTCAGATTTTTCTGATAATTACGTTAAGAAAGTAAAACTTTACACAAGTTATCATCTCTCGCCTAATCAAAACTTCAAATGTGCGGTAGAAGCAATTATTAACTTCTCAAAAAAAACGTTTGTCGTGAAGCATCATTAAAAATTGCTAAAAGCCTTTCTTTTAATAAAAATTTGGTTTTTCCTCAGAAACAGATAGTTCACTGCTTTTGAAGTGATTTAAAACTGTCCGTTACTAATGATTATTGGTTTGACAAGTAAGTACAGTACCTTTACAAATAGGCACTTGAAATGATTGAGAAAAAAAATAAAACAAAGAAAACAAAAATAATTATAAGAAGTCAAATAATCTCGACTCAACAAATATACAACTTCCATTCAAACTGTTTGAAAAGTCTTGCTGTAATTCAAGCCTGTCTTTATTCTAAAAGAAAACTTTTTTTGAAGAACTGATCACACCAAATTACAAATGAACCTTCCGATGCAAAAACAAACTGATTTAAAAAGAAATTGCGCATATTTAAAATAATAAGAAAAACAACCTTTTCCTGGCGATCTTTTAAACTCTTCTCCATCTTTTCTGCTGTTGCACCTACTTCCTTTCTCCGCTTTTTATCGTTCTTTGGTACTGAATGTTTCATGCTCGTAATTTTAGCTGAAAATTCTTGGAGTACACTGACACCACCATTCGCCTTATTTAAGTAAAGCCTCAGTTCTTTCCTCGGCAATTACAGAAAAGCCCCTATACAGAGAAGAGATGAAGTTACTTAATAGTAAACAAAAAAATCCTTTGCTGAAAAGAAATCAATTTCAGCTAATTTTAAAACCAGAGTTTTAGCGACTTACCTAACAAGTCTTTCTTTTCTTTGCGATGTTTCGCCTTTAGCTGTTCATACGGTGACACAGTCAGTTCATCCGATTCAGCTGTGTCCTCCATTACACTTAGAAGGAGACCTTTAACCTGGAAAATACTAAGCAAAAACTTGAAAAAAAAAAAGTTGCACAAAACTTGTGAATTGAGCTTTCAAAACAGGTCGCAAGAAACAATTAAAGATACATTTCAAATAAACTCTATTGTACGTAAAAAAAAACAAGAAGTGATACAAAGAAAAGTTACGATACTGTTTTTGCACTCTTTGAAATAAGAAAACTTCGTTCTCTTTTTTCTCGTTATCTTTAGTAATCAAGTTAACATTTTGAATAAAAAATTTGAAAATAAATTGTTAGAATTTGAATGGTTGAGTCATCTAAAATCTGCATTCAAATCAGTGATAGTCTGGCCTCCAGATGTTTGCTGTGCAGCATTCACTCATGCAACCCCGGTAACGTTAGTGCAATTGACAATGAGACAAAAATTTTCGCAAAAAACGTATTTTTCAACTTGTATCAGGTTTCAGTAAAGTTGGAAATATGTTTGAAAGCCAAAAATTAATCCGTTTGAGGGAGAATTTTTTCTAGACATGACTAGAATCTCCGACTATAGGTTTGACAGAACATAGCTCTCTTCCGGACAGCTCTCTGGGCAATAGACATGAAATCCGGTTCTTCAGAAAGAAGTAGCTGTCATCATTGAA